GGGACTAAAGGCCCTTACGAACCGGGACTATTAAGTGTTTTTCTACTAGTGGCCTTGTACAAGATGAATATATATATGCACTCCACACCATGCATGCAATCCCGTCTTGGTTGAATTTGCTTGGCTTCTTAAGCTATTGACATATACTTAGCCTTAGCATATTCCCAGCGGTCATCAACCGGGCACACATATACAATACATTGGGCATGGGCGGCCTTAGGAACTCAACTTTCAGTTGTACCTGAACATCTGGTTCTATCAATTTCCGAATCCTAGCCTTAGTTGCCCGTCATGTTTTGGTTTTGCTTTGCAGCCATGTTCAGTGATAGGACGGTGAAAGATGCATGTAAGAACTAGTCTATTGCTGCAAATATTTTACGTAGACTAAAATTCGTTCCTCTGCATTCCAGAGAAGTTTGTGAAGATCCCTTCCACCTACCAGCTGATAGAACAACGCAGCATGTAACTGATGTGTAACAGGTTATTATATTTGTGGTTGATCTTTCCGTGGGGACCTACTTATTAACAAAATTTGGACTTTGTGTGGCACGTTTCTTCGGTGTATTAATTTAGTTGACTCAAATAAATAAAAACTACTCCCTTCGTCCCATAATATAAGATATAGCTTGCAAAACGATCTTATATTATGGGACGGATGGATTAACACATAAGCCCTTGATAGTAAATGAAGCTTTGTTGACTTGTCTTTGTTTAAAAAAAGTGGAGTTGAACCACCATTCACTACTCAGTTGGTCATAGATATTTAGAGCCTCTTCAATAGGATTTTCCTAATTTGACCACCTACATGATCGTGGACACTTCCACAGACAACACACACATTTGAACCCCCGCAAATCACGCAACATTGATCAACACATTTAGACAGCACATAAAGACAGGTAGTAAGTTCATACACATGGGAGGATAAGACATACGCGGACAACAAATTCATACACATAAACTATAGATGAAAATGATGTTCTAGGATAAAGTTAGGATGAAGATGTTCATCGCTTCACCTTGCCCTTGCTCTTGTCATCATTGGGGCGGCAGTAGTAATATTGTGAAGGCGACATATGGTTTGTCCTCTAGGGACCGTCAGAGTTGGAAGAGGACAAGGGGAGTAAGGGGAGGCGGCATATGCGGACGTTTGAAGGGCGGAATTTGCTAGGCCGGCTGTAGATGCTCTAACATATATGAGATGGTAACAGCATAAGGTCATCGTCCACATGGTGTATGCGTAAATGAGGCCTTGCACGATGTAAGGCGATTGAAGCAAACGTCATGAGATCGAAGAGCGCAAGCTCTACACGCCACACCTAAGATGGATCCGTCGCGCTACAAATCGAATTTCGCCTTCTCTTTTCACCAATCGAATTGAGTGGCTGACAAGCGCGCTTGTAGGCTATTTATGTGATGGCCCTTCCACCACCTTGACCTATTCAAACATGATGTGACTATATATTGATGCATAGTTGTACTGGAGTAGCATTTTGCTGGTGCTAGGCACCCCACATGCATCCGATCAAAACGGGCTAGCGTGCCACCTGCTCATCTGTGCCTAAGCAGCATCACAAAAGCTGCAAAGATACAAATAGTACAAAACGGAACGAAGATAAGGCATGGTGACTAGCACCATGCGATGCGAGATTCACTCAACAGATCACCGATGTTTGTTTGTCTCTTCCGGGGTCCAAAAGCTTCATGGAAGCGGCCAGCACAGTCCATCCAGATCCAGGGGCACGCGTCACCGTTGGGTCTCTCACTACTGTACGTACAACGCTGGCGATCGACGTGTAATTGTATGCAGTGTGGATGCTGAATCACGAGGCACACCGATCGAGACGGCCGGAGATTCAACCATGCATACTCCATACTCGTACGTTTTCTTTCGTTAATTATACTAGCAAAAAGGGCCCGTGCGTTGCAACGGGAGAAAAATATCGTAAAACCTGCTCCGTGTGATAGTACGCGCCATTTCTTATATACAGTTTTGATAAACATAAGTAATAAGTTCATCACCCGATCGGCTTCAGAACCTTCTCAGTCCTTCTCAATCCTTGTTGCACAGAGATGAGAGCAAAAATACTCCTCCTACTTTGGCGGTGCTGGTTCCTCGTGATGACTGTGTTCATAACACAGGAAAGGAGCTCATCACCCGATCGGCGCTCTTCTTGAAACATTACGAGGAGGAAATCAGGTGCTCCGATACAATGGAAAAGGAAGAACCAAACCTCAAACAGAAACAGGTGCATGCAGTGAACACTCTGGCCGGTCGGAGTTCTTTGCATCAACAGACAGACACAGGCATTGGAGAGGGCTCAGGCAACACCACGGCAAATCAGTGGTGTCCTCCAGATGTGGGCACCATCAAACTGAACTCAGACGCAGCATTCCGGGCTGACAGCGGAATTTCCCATGCGGGTGCGATCGCACGAGACCACAGAGAGGTCGTGGTTTTCTCTTTGTCCAAACAGATTGGCTGCTGTGGCGCAGTTGAGGAAGCTGAGGCTCCCACCCTCCTTGCTGGACTACAGACCCTGTCCGACCTACACAGGGGGCCAATCGTTGCTGACACGGACTGCACATTTTTGTCAAATGAGCTGCGGCCAGGTGCCAGCAACTTATCTGCCTGGTACCCCGTGATCGCTGACATCAAGACGGAATTGGTGAAATTCAGTACAGCCCAGGTCAACTACACGAGCAGGAACCAAAACAAGATGGCTCACCTTCTAGCTGCTCGGGCTAGAAGTCAGGAAGACATGATTATGATGGCGAGCGTCCCAGATGACCTGGCTGCAGCATTAGCTGCCGACCCTGTGTTGGCTCAGGAGTAGTTGTACTCCTAGTTTTTCCTCAAAAAAAAAACATAAGTAATAAGTTTATATTGTTCATTTTTTTGAAGTATGAAGTATGGTAGCAAAGAAGCCACCCTAACATCCTTCATTTGATGGAAGGGTAGGGGTGCATGGAATAGTCTAGTAATCGGTTCTATATTTTATTTTTGGGAAAAACACAAACATTTTATTATTTTAAAATAATTAAACAATTTGAATTTTTAATCTTTTAGCAGAACTGAAACATGTTTTGAAAATGAACATTTTTTACACATGTTTTTCTGAACGAGAATTTTTAAATATAATTTTAATTAAAACATTTTTGGGGGATTCTGAGATCTTTTTTTAAACATATATATATATATATATATATATGTATATATATATTTAAAAACATGTTTTTTTTAAAACAAGAAAAGGTACGCGATTTAAAAAAAACGCACACTCGATGCCCATACTATGTAGTATAAAGTTGAGAAAGTCGTAGGGATGTCCTTGGATGGCGCCTCCTTCAGCTTAGCACTGTCATCGGCTGGAAGAGGAATGTTGTATTTGTTTCTAGCCGGATATACAGACGATGGAATTGTTGTATACTATTCGAGGGTTTAATAACTAATTCAAAAGTTTCTGTAGAATTTTCAAAAGATTTTGTTGGGCGAAAGAGTAATGGTGCATTGAATTGGGATTGTTTATATACAATTTTTTGTTAATATTCGAAAGCAAAGAGATAATGTTGGTTATTTGATTTGCAAGATTATATTTTGTTCCTTTTCTTTTGCATTATTTGAACTTGGCCAACATCACCATAAAAAAGCAAGCTTTTCTGTGTTACCCATCACATGTAAATTTCAATTGGATTGTTTAGAAAAAAAAAGGTAAACTTCAAGATGCATCGTGGTCACTCTTCATCCAACCCTCTCTCTCCTTCTTATCTCACCAACGATGTCGGTAACATCCAGAGTTGGAAAATATCTTAATTGTCAAGTCCCGGTGAGCTCCAAATATCTTCTTCCTTAAGAACTATTGTATATCACATGATGTATTCATAAGATGTGGTAGGCATAAAAATTAAACTATAACAGTGACAACAAACAACAGTAACCAATTATTACCAATTATTATATTGGTGCTCATTTAGAAGAAAAATAAAATGCAATCGGTGCTGGCACGTATAGCAACATCTAGGAGCTTCTGGTCGGTGCAGCCAACTAAAAAAGCAATCCACACCGAGAGCTATCTCCCACTACGTGCCTTATCCACTTCGCCTCTTCTCCCTGCTCCAGCCACACACACACCCACGCGACCGTGCTCCAGGCGCCGCGTTCCCCTTCTCTCTTCCCTCCTCTCTACAATCCTCCAAGCTTTCGTCGGCCACTTGCGGGGCGGCTGCGTATGGGCTCCAGGTGGCCGGGGCTGCGCGCCGGGGCAGGCTGGGGCTGTGGCGGAGGCGCGGCAGCGGTGGCCGGCGGCTGCTTGAAGGGGCCGCGTGGATCTGCCGCCGGGGCTTCGGATCGGCGTTGTCGTCTGAGCCCCGAGTTTTCGACGCCGAGGTCAGCGCTCCTTGAGCATTCGCGTACATGCGTCCGCAGCCAGCGGATGAAATCGGTCCAGCGTCGTAGCTAGCTTGTACCGCTCCATGTGCAGACATGAGTTTTATCAGAGCCGGTGAAGCATTTGCACTTCAAGCTACCTCTGACTCCTTCGTTCACTGTTTAGTGGCTAGGCCATCAATAATCCCAAATCCATTGCCAAATCTAAAAGGCAGGTTTGATGAATCCAACAACCGGCAGTGGCAAAAACCTTCAAGATATTGCTTTATCCATTGGGCAATCTGCAGCAGTATATCTACTTGGCAATGACAAACATATACTGATCGATGATATACACTTGTAGATTATGATGAATTGTACTTACCCGCGCTTATGTTTTGGTCTGAACAGAGCTTGGCGATCCAGAGGGTGCTGGTCTCCGTCGGTGGACATTCGATGACAAATGAAAAAAACAGAGGCAACCAATTCAGCGAGGCCGCCCACCCAGCAAAACGCACCAAAGAACCAATTCTTTCTTTACCAGAGAAGAAGAAGGCGAGGCCCAATCTCAACCGCCGTCCGTCCTTACCTGCCTACGCCCGGCGGGCCGATGGGGGGCCCGACCTGAGGCGACATGGCCCTCCCAAGAGAGAAGCAGGCGTCGGCGCTGTGCAGGCCGTCCATGGCGATGGAGACGCCCGGGCAGGAAGGGCTCAATCCGGATGAACCAGCCCGCACCAAGCCCGGCCGCCTCAACAGGAGCTCGTCTCTCTGCCTGCCTGTGGCTCACCGGAGCCGCCATCGCCGGCGACCGCCTCCCTCACCTTGTGCCCCTTCTTCTTCGCCTTTCTTCCTCTCTTCCCCGAGGAGCGGGGAGCCGGTGAATCCGTCGGTCAGGAGCTGGGCGGCGCGCCGGCGCCCTCCATCATCGCGGCCGTTTGGGAAGGACGCGGTCCTGGTCGATGCGGTGTGTGGCGGGCGACGCAGGGCAGGAGGTGGCGGCGGGATGAATGTACATGCGATGGGGCACCGGCAAACAGAGGCGGGCGGCAGAGGTGCTGCAGGAGCGGTGCTCGACCGCGAGGTGAGGAGGAGGAGCAGAGGAAGGGAAGGCTGAAGGTGATCCTCGCTGACGATGGTGGGACGCAGGCGTGAGCAGGAGGATGAGAGGAAACGGGACATCGGCCTGCTGGTGGCTGCCGGCGACACCGGGTGGCGAGGGGTCGTCGGAGCGGCGTCGTGGACGCCGGCGCCAAGCGGCGGCGAGTGGCCGTCGGTGGAGTCTTGGAATGGATAAGGAATATAAGAGCTGACTGCAGACTGCGGGCTAAATTCTAACTAATGCAGGGGCTCTTTTGCAACAATGAAACGTTTTTAGGAACTCACTTGATAAAGGACTGCGGGTTGAATTCAACAAACAACAGGGGCTTTTTTGAAAAAATGACAATAACGGACGACAGAAACCCAATTCTCTTTATCGTTAAACTAGCAAATATGCCCGTGCGTTGCAACGGAAGAAAAAATTACACGTTGGTCAATATCCGATATATGAATGTCCTCTATTTTAACACGATGGCTCACCATGTTGCCAATTATCTTTCTTCTCACTCTCGTTGATGATGGATGCAATATCCACGTGATGGCAATGCATTCAACGTGGTAAAAAATGGGCTTGTCACTATACGACACACTTGTCATTGTCTCGCGCAAGGGAATGTTTTGAACTTTCAAAACAAATCTCATCGACCATGGACTACTCGCCAACCCCAAGACATATAAAGAATTTCCAACATTAATCAAATCCTAGATATAAAATACATCTGAATAGGAAGAGTTTTTTGAATCGACAAACATTCTTTTTAAATTTAGACATTTTTTTAAATTCACAAACATTTGTTTTTTAGACGAACATTTATTGAAATGCATGAATAGTTTTTGATTTCATGATGACTCAGATTCACAAATATGTTTTGAATACATGATCATTTTATCAAGATCATGAACTTGATTTTATTTAACGACATTTCTTTCCAAATTATTTTTATAATTTGCAAATATTTTTGTAAAATCAGTAACATTTTTTGAAACCACGAAAATTTTATGATTTCCTGAACTTTTTTGAATTCACACACATTTTATAATTTCTCAAACAGCTTTTTCAAACTCGCAACTTTTTAATACTTGAAAATCTCAAATTGATTTAAAGAAGGAGAAAACAAAAACAGAAGTGAGAAAAGAGAAGACCAGAAAAAAGAAAAAAAAACAGGGCATTAAGTCCGCTGGCTGGCCCATGTAGGCCTAAAGTAGGTGGGAATAAGTCATGAGAAAAAGGTGGAGGGAAATATTGGTAGAAGCTGGGGTTCGAACCCTGGTCTACAGGGCAAAAGACAATGCATCGAGCCACCACGCTACTACTGCGTCACTGCTATTTGTTGGATATTAACTTTATACAAACTCTGGAAACGACGGCGACTTTGAAAAGAAAAATCGAATCGTTTTCTTCACTTACGGGTGGCATAGCGGGTAATTTCTAGCAACTTTGGGGGGCGATTTTTGTGACGTACGGGCAGAAGCAATATCTGCTTTATTAGTAGGTATAGATATAGATATAGATATAGATTATATATAAAAAACGGACGCAAAGGGAGGCGAGACGTGGTGGCTATACACCCGGCACCGTGTTGTATTTCATAATCTATCTATATATTACAGTACTGTATTATTAGTACCACCCTACTATTTCTTTGTGTCTGCAAGAATCTCAGGCCATCGAGCTAGCTAGTGACACGAATCATGGCATGGCGAAAAGCGAGGGGAGAGCCGGCATGTGATCGAGTAACCGATATGAAGATTCACTCAGGAATCGTATAGTCCCCCGTCCCAAAATAAGCAACTCAAGTTTGTAATAACCCAATGTGTAACAGATCTCAGCATATTATTATGTTTACAATTGTTATTGGTCATATACATACTAGCTTCGAGGTGCTGGGTGAATCTACTAGTATTCTGCAAATTCGACTGTATGTGGAATATTATGTTGTTTGTGCCGACTTACTATTTGCATGTTCAAATGCAAAAGGGGGTGTGAACCCCTTGAGAATCCAATCCTTGCCTAGCATCTCCTAATCTTCTGCCCCTACAAACAACATGTATATATAGATTCAGGCTATGTGGCATCACCAGCCTCTTCAAGCCGTTTAGATTGTTGCTGGTAACGTGGTGATGAAATGTGTATGCCAGTGTGGTTGTCTCTGGTGGCACAAATTTTTGCAGTCGACGTAGAGTAAGACTTCACCAACCACAAACCTCACCGTTCAACAACAAAGTACATATGAAATTCATTTGAACATCACAAGTAGACTTCAGGACTTCGGTCATACTACATTTTTTGAGGTTGGCATTCATCAGATTTAACTGATGCATAATGGCACCTCATCAAATCTTTTATCTCCTGACAATAAATGCTTATTTTCAAAATACATTTTCCTCCCCCGCAAATAAAATAAAATAATATATCAACCAAGCAATGCAATCATTTATCTGGTCTCCATATCGACCAAGAAATGCAATCATTTATGAATTTATTCATCATCCCATTACAACGCAGAACTCAGAATAAGTGCAAAGCAACAGAACAAGAACAACAACAACATATCTCATGCATTGTCATCTAGTAAGATAAAATCCCGACAGTGGACACCAGGTACAACTTAAGATTAATATATTCAACCTTTCTATCATTAATTAATAGGATAATATCACAATCGATTTATGCCTTGTAAAAGGATGTGTATATATACACACACACGTCATACAATACATGCAATCCGGCCTTGCCTGCCTTCTTTCGCCAGTGACACATACCTAGGCTTAGCATATTCCCGGTGGTCATCAATTGCGCAGGCATATACAGTACATTGGGCATGGGCGGCCTTGGGAAGTCAACATTTGGTTACTACTGAACAGATGGTTCTACCGATTTCCGAAGCTCGACCTTAGCTGCTAGTCATGTTTTGGTTTTGCTTTGCGGCCATGTTCAGTGATAGGACCAAGAAAGATGAACGTCGGAACTAGTCTAACGCTGCAAGAGTATTAGGTGATCAAGATTACTGGAACGTGGCACGACAAGGCGCGGAGCGTGGTGCCAATGTGAAGATCCCGGTAGAAAAATACAAGCTTGCAGACTGACGCAATGTAACAGAGTTGTAACATGTTTACTAAGTTCTGTCACTGAACTTTGGAGTACATGGACTAACTTTTAAGTCTTTCTTCAGTGAATCCTACCAGTGGCGGCGCCAGGAAATGAAGGCCGGGTATTCATCCAATTTTTTTTGCTCTAAATGTTGTATATGAACCAAACAACACAACAATAGGAATATATACCCACACAAAAAAGCAGTAGCAATATATATGAACAAAACAACACTAGCATATTGGCAATAGCAATATTCCAATGTATCAGACCATAACGACATGAATACATAAGTATCTTTTGATTGATAAAGTGATGATATCCTTCTTATAATATAACTCTGCGGTCGCCTTTCTGGAATAGACTGATGACATCTTCATCCTTCACTTGATTGAAAAATTCTCTCTCAACGAATGTAACCAAACAATTGTTCAAATAATCATCACCCATTTTGTTCCTTAGCTTATTCTTCACATAGCTCATTGACGAGAATACCCTTTCAACACTAGCAGTAGCTACTGGCAGAATCAATACCAACTTAAGAAGCTTGTAAATAATATGATATCGTTCATGCTTGTTAGTCTCAACAAGCATGATTGAAAGATGACACATATTTTTCAGGTTTTGAAACCTTTCATCTCTATGCACATTAGTAACATATATGTTTAGTTGCCATGAAAGTCTTGCCAGTTCATCCCTTGTAAAATCAGAAGCATAAAATTTTGTAGCAAGCCTAACTAACTTCTCTTGGTCATAAGCAGCAAATAGATGAAGTGGACAAAATGCTGCCATGCAAGAAAGTAGCTCCGTGTTTACCTCATCAAATCTGCCATTCAGCTCACTGATTTTCCTATCAATGACACCCACAAACATATCAACCTTGAAGCGGTGGTAATTGGTCGGACCATTACATAAACCCCTTCTAGGCCGGCCAACGGGAAAGTAAGGACCCTCCATATCAACAACTTTGATCTTATGCTTTGTATAAAAAGATGTGACCTTTGTGAGAAAATCATCCCATCCAGCATCAGTCCTCAAAGCCTCCAAGTAATACTTTGAGTCAGCAAAAAGCTCAATATCATGAACAATATCTTCATCTTGCTTTTGCAAAGCTCTACACAACTCATCTGTGTATCCAAATATTTCTTGCATCAAGTGTGCCATGAAAACAAACTCAAATAATTGAAATATTGTCTCTATGGATAGAGCCGCTTGTGCCTCTGCACCATGGTACTCGTCTCCAATCTTGCGAAGGACTCGTTGTAGTGCACCATACATAGAGATGACATGGTTCACAGTTTTGAAGTGAGAGCCCTAACGGGTATCACATGGCCTTCCAAACCCATTTCCTGATTCATTCCACTCCATGTTTCTACTTCTTCCAATTCCAATGCATCAATGAGTTCTTCAGCCTGAGCTATCCGAAGCATTCTCATATTTTTACAAGACATGCCAAGAGCATTTAAAAAGTGTGCAAGCTGCTGAAAGAACCAAGTACAATCACCACTCTCCTTAGCAACAACAACAAGAGTTAATTGTAGTTGATGGGCAAAACAATCAACATAGTAGGCAGAAGGGGACTCATCCATAATCAGTTTTTTTAGGCCATTAGCATTACCTCTCATATCATCATATCCTTGCCCACGAACCATTGCAAAGGTCAAATTGTATTCCATAAACATTTTCTGAATTGCACCTTTTAGTGTCAAAGAGGTAGTATTTTCAACATGAGCAAGACAAAGAAATCTTACAAACGCTGAGGGAGTCCTGGACTAGGGGGTCCTCGGGTGTCCGGTCTATTGATGTGGGCCGAACTGATGGGCCGTCAAGATACAAGACAGAAGATTATCTCGTGTCTGGTGGGGACACCCGTATGCGTGGATGGAAAGTATAGGTGTCCGGATATCTTATTCCTTTCTGTAAAA